CTCTGCCAAAAAAACAAGGTTTTTCTTAGATCTTAACCATGAGAACTCTGTGTGTTTTCTTGAGGTAAATCCCATGGGAATGTGGGAGACCCACAAAATTGAGTACCCAAGAGTTTTTAACTCTCAAGTCAGTTCCCATTCAGGCTCTAGCGATTTGTCTGAATTACTGTGTGAGTGTTCTGAGTAGTTTATGACTTCAGTGGTGTCTGCTTCAGGTTAGCAAATCTCAGCTGTGGTTTGCTGTATTTGCCTCTCTTTCCAGATTTCAAGGTAGCAGTTTGCCCTGTGACCTCAGTTCCCTGAACAGTCTAAGAATAATTGATTTTCAGTTTGTTCATTATTATCTTGTTGAGAATGGGAATGACAATTTATAATTTCCAAGTTCTTTACATGTTGTAGCCAAAACCAGAAGTCTCCCAATGTCCAGTTTTCAAGACTGGAGCATGTGGAATTGGCAGGGATATTGGTGTTAAGAATGACTACATTCAAATTTAAGCCATGGTATTCATCTAGAGATATTGTCTGAGTCACTTAATCTGTCTGAAACTCAATATCCTCACCAGTCAAAAATAGTTCTAAATACATAGGGTTGTGTTAAATTTAAATAAGAGAACATATGTGAGCAGGTTCATCATAGATCCTGGCATGTACTTTACAGGTATCTCATAAATGTCAGTTTCCTTTTTACATTAAGGTACCTGTGTTTGAAAACAAAGACTGTTTGGAGTCCAACCCATTGTGTAACATTTATCCTAGGAATTTTAAAAGTTCTTACGAAGTCTTTGCCATTCTTACAATGTTGAAAAAACTACCTTGAAAAAAGTAACTTGCCTCTATAAGATTGCTTTATTCTTAAGGCCTTGAAGGGAACTCAATGGTTTATGTATTCCTCTCTCCAAACTGCAAGTATACTCTCCTTAAAAAAAAAAAGAAGTCCAGTCTTCTACTGAAAAGACCCTTGAAAGCACATTTTTTTTTTTGGTCTGGGTCTGAATAAAGAAACATCTGCACTGAGTACTAAGGACAGTCATTTTGCTCTGGTGATAGGATATACATCCTGGGTTGGAATAGGGGAGAAGTTATTGATTCGTTTAAAGAGAGGTGATAGTTTGATTGTACATGTTATATATCAAACCATATTGGAGAGTTGTGTCCCTTTTGGAGCAACATAATTTAAGAAGGAAGTTGGTAACAGTCAACTGTGTCCAAAAACGGTGACCAGGGTAGTAATGAGGGCATTAGTAAATCTAGAAACCTTGCTATATTTGGATGTGTATTAATTTATTAGATGTATTTATCTGTATCATCTCTCTATATAGTGTTAAAAATAGAATGTTTTCTGTTTGGTGCCAAATTTTTCAGAATATCTCTGATTTTACATTGTTCCAATTTTTCCTGAATATAATGCTTGACTTCTTCCCAGGAAAGAGACAGAGGAAAACCTCTGCTAGCATTAAGTGTACATTATTATCTGACCAAAGAAAAATCAGTGGGCTGGACATTTTTTGCAGTAATTCTAGCTCTTGGCTTCATTTCAGGAAACCTCAAGTTGCCAACTTCAAGCTGAGCATCACTTTTCACCTAGTGTTGGTTCCTATAAGTCCCCAAGGTGTCTTTGCTTGGGTAGTTATGGTTTGGGCTGTTGTCCTGTGATATAGAAGTAAGGGGGTTGGGTAAAACCCAGAGATGTGCTAAGTGGATTCTGAGATGTGAAAGTTGGAGCAGGGAGCACATGTGAGTTTGAGGTTGAATATGAACCTCTAGCCCTTTCCCCCTGCAATATGTGTTGTTGTTATTATTTCTGGAGAAGAGTTCATGATCTTTTATAATTTTCTTTTCCTATTGATTCAGCAGTGGTAGTAACAGAAACTTAAAACAGTTATGGCATATAGTGTATGGAATTTCACTGTCATATATCTTGCACATTAGAGAATAAATTGCACTGTGTCAAAGAGGAAATTTGCCTTGTAGAGAATTCATTTTAGGGTAGCTTTGATGACTTGAGATACACAGGGTAGCATCTCAGCAGCCGTCTTCCTTCTCTGACCTTATGCAGCCCCAAGACAGAGATGAAAGTACAATTGGCTTTAGCTGCAATTTCTCCCAGTACTTTTTTCCATTTGGAGAGGGGAAGCTGATAGAAATATAACGAGCTTAAGAATGAACTTGACTTTCAAAGATTTTTGAGAACGTGTGTGTTTGGCCATACGGCTGAGGGCAGCTAGAGTGGGAGACAGTAGTTTGAGTTGACTACTTCTGCTTTGCATGACTGTGGGAAAGTGCTTAAATTCTGCTTGCCTCAGTTTCATCATCTATAAAGTGGGGATTGCAAAACCAAACTCAGAAGATTATGGTAAAAAGCGGATGTTGTAATATACTTGGAAATGCTTTGTAAACGCTATGCATGTGTTTTCAGTTGCTCCAGTCGTGTCTGACTCTTTGTTACTCTAGGGACTATAGCCTGCCAGGCGCTCTGTCCATGGGATTCTTCAGGCAAGAATACTTGAGTGGGTTGCCATCCCCTTCTTCAGGAGATCCTCCCAACCCAGGGATCGAAGCTGCATTTCCTGTCTCCTGTGACTCCTGCATTGCAGGCGGATTCTTTACCACTGAGCTACCAGGGAAGCCCCACTTAAAAGGTATATGGTATAGCATTTAAGGGCTTCCCAGGTGGCACTGAGCCACCAGTAGTCATATATAGGTGTGAAAGCTGGACCATAAAGAAGGCTGAGCGTTGAAGAATTGATGCTTTTGAACTGTGGCATTGGAGAAGACTCTTGAGAGTCCCTTGGACAGCAGGGAGATCCAATCAGTCAATCCTAAAGGAAATCAACCTTGAATATTCATTGAAAGGACTGATGCTGAAGCTGAAGCTCCAGTACTTTGGCCACCTGTTGGGAAGAACTGACTCATTTGAAAAGACCCTGGTGCTGGGAAAGATTGAAGGCAGGAGGAAAAGGGGACGACAGAGGATGAGATGGTTGGATGGCATCTCTGACTCAATGGACATGAGTTTGAGCAAGCTCCAGGAGTTGGTGATGGACAGGGGAAACTGGTGTGCTGCAATCCGTGGGGTTGCAGAGTCAGACACGACTGAGTGACTGAACAACAACAGGTGGCGCTAATGGTAAATAATCTGCCTGCCAATGTGGAGTTCAATCCCCGGGTCGGGAAGATCCCCTGGAGTAGGAATGGCTACCCACTACAGTATTCTTGCCTGGAGAGTCCCATGGACAGAGGAGCCTGGTGGGCTACAGTCCATGGGGTTGCAAAGAGTCGAACATAACTGAAGCAACGTAGCATGCACACACATACCTTATACTTTCAAGACAAGGATAGTGTATTATTTATCTCCATCTACCTAGCACTTATATACCCCTAGTACCTAGCACAGAGTCTAGTAGTAATAAAGGATTGGTAGCTAAAATTAATGACTAGTTTTAAATATTCAAATTTCTGAGGATTTTGAAGAATTACTTGACTGGTCCTTTGGATTGCATTAGAAAATCTCTTGAGTTCATTCAATGTTTAGATTCAAGGATTGAGAACAGTGTATGAGGTTAAGACTGTTATAGACAAGCTTTCCAAGAAGTTCTTAATATTCTAAACAACAAAAGTCACAAATGAACACTTAGCAATTGATGAAAATGAAGATTAACTTTCTCAAGTGGGCTTGGAAACCCAGTACAATTGCTTTGGCATCTGCTCAACATTGCTGCGCGTGGTCATAAACCCAAGGGAAGAATCTAGTATGTGTGTTCTACCTTGTGAGGGATCTGGGGCAGATGGTGGTGGTACAACCTAGAGCTCACTTCTGCCACAGATGACTGAGATGTTTGGCTAAGTGATCCCAAGGAGCAGATGGAATGCAGTCTCTCTAGGTAGTCTGAAAATGGTAATAATTTGATTTTTCAAGGCTGAAATGGCATCATTTGGGGATACATCTGTTGTGGACCTCTGTTCTTTGGAAGGAAATGAAAGAAAGTGCTAAGTTAATTTTAAAAGTCTTGGGAAACTTGATTATTTTTGTTTTTAAACTATGTCTTATTTCTTGAAAAATCTATTATTGTTGTTTTCCTTTCTCTCATAAGAAATGCAGAACTCTGATTATTTGAGATAAATTGTGTCTAGAGGGCTTCAGTTTGGAGAAAATGGGATGGTGACATTATTACTTTCTCTCTCAAACCAGTGACACTAATCAGGCCTTATGCCAAGGGTTAGGGGCAGCAGATGTAATCCTGAACCCATAGTCTCTGTAGAGTGGATAAGGCTTCCAAGCCATGTGGAAGCCGAACTTACCAAGGAAGCTTAGCTATTATCCTTCCAGATGTTCAGCTTGCAAATAGGAGAGGTGTTATTTTCAGTATCAAATGTATAGATAAGTACATGCCTTGTTTTTTTCATCCTCATACCCGTTTAGGGGATAACTTCCATTTTCGGGTCTGGCAATCTGTCAGATAGCTCCATTTAAAGTTATCTACCAAAATGATTAAATTGGTGATAGCTTTTATTCTTGGCTAAGAACTTGCCTTTCCTCCAGAGATGAACAGGCTTAAATCGTTATGTCAGTTTATATAGTATATGGTTTGTTGTCAAATATTTATCTTTGTCTAAAAATGAAATGTCTTGAAATACAATTTCTTTTTAACTGAATAAATCAATGAGAGAAAAAGAACTTCTCATTTAGCCAATTTTTAATCGATATTTTTATGAGAGGCCAGAATGTTAACTGAATCCTGACTTTTGTCATTTGAAATATAATTTGTGTGTTTAAGAATTTATGTACACATCAAGGTTTGGACTTCATGTTCAGAAAGGAAAATTGATTTATAGGAACAAACAACTGCAGGAGTAGAGGCAATGCCAGAAGTAAACATGAGTCAATTATTTAAGGCAAATGGGACCTTAATCATCACAGCAGTAGAGAAATCTCAAATTCAATTAAATACTGGATTTTCATGCTTTAATTTGTGGGCATTTCTATATCTCTTATTTTACAGAGGCCTTTGAAATTGTTGTTCGCCACGCCAAGAACTACACCAATGCCATGTTCAAGAACAACTATCCGAGCCTGACCCCACAAGCTTTTGACTTTGTGGGTGAATTTTTCACTGATGTGTCTCTCTACATCCTGGGTTCTGACATCAACGTGGATGACATGGTCAATGAATTGTTTGACAGCCTGTTTCCAGTCATCTATACCCAGCTAATGAACCCAGGCCTTCCAGAGTCCACCTTAGACATCAATGAGTGCCTCCGAGGGGCAAGGCGTGACCTGAAAGTATTTGGGAATTTCCCCAAGCTTATTATGACCCAGGTTTCCAAGTCACTGCAAGTCACTAGGATCTTCCTCCAGGCCCTGAATCTTGGAATTGAAGTGATCAACACAACCGATCACCTGAAGTTCAGTAAGGACTGTGGCCGAATGCTCACCAGAATGTGGTACTGCTCTTACTGCCAGGGACTGATGATGGTTAAGCCATGTGGTGGCTACTGCAATGTGGTCATGCAGGGCTGTATGGCAGGTGTGGTGGAGATTGACAAGTACTGGAGAGAATACATCCTGTCTCTGGAAGAACTGGTGAATGGCATGTACAGAATCTATGACATGGAGAATGTACTGCTTGGTCTCTTTTCTACCATCCATGACTCCATCCAGTATGTCCAGAAGAACGGAGGAAAGCTCACCACCACGGTGAGTACCATTCTACAGCTTTCCAGGGAATTGGATTCTATTTGGGGTGTGGTGGCACGGCCAGTAGCAGGGGCTGATGAAGAGAACTAAGAAAAATATGGGCCGGGATGATAGAGGGCCTGAATGTCCTCACAAAGCTGGGCAGTGCATTAAATCCACAGGTTATGGAGTCCAAAGCCTGGCTTTGCATTTTAGCTCCATCTACTTTCTTGTTTTCGGACCTTGGTTATGAGGCTCTTTATGAGCCTCATATTGCTGATTGATAAAATAAGGATAAAAAGAATATCTTCTTCATTGGGAGTAACATGGGTTACAGTTCTTCAGTAATTATTAGTTATTATTACCACTGCTGTTAGTTAACACAACATTCTTGACAACCATCTGAGGTATGAGCTATTATCTCCATTTTGTAAATCAGGGAACTGAAGCTCAGGTAAACTGAACCTTGACCGACAGCACCCAGCTATAGTTAATGAAAGAGCCGTGATTCACAAACTGATCAGGTGTCCTTTTAATTAGGTTATCACGAGTTTCTCTGATTCTGATTTCACTCTTGTGCTCTTCATCATATATATCACATTACGATTTTGAGTAGTTGATTTGCAATGTTAGTTTTGATTTGCATTTTGAGTAGTGACTTTAAAAGTAGGAAACCCAGCTAGAACCCACTAACTAAAGCTACAAATGAATGAGGCAAAACATTTATACTTTCCAACAGTTGTTTTTGCAGCCTTGATTTATACCAGTGTAAGCCTGATGGTATTTGTATTGGGGTGGGACAGTTCTGTGAGGGAGCAGCTTGCTTGGTTTCAGTCAGATATTATTAGTTACATTGTACCTGCTAAGCTAGGATACACACATTCAGAACCAGGGGAGCACACACTTTTCAATACAGGAAAGTACAGCCAAGAGCTATCAGTTAGATGTCACTAAGGTTACAGTTACTGATTCCTGAATGTTGCCAGCTTTGTTGAAGGAGGTGGCAGAATCATCTAATACACTAGCCTTGTTGAGATCCTACCACATTTGAAGTGCTCTGCTGACCAGTTTACATAATATTATGTCACAATAATCCATGGGATAGATCCTAATATTATCCCCATTTTATACAGGAGTAGATGAAGCCAGCTTCAGAGCCGGCTTAAGAGTAAATATTAAAAATAACTAAGGTCATGGCATCTGGCCCCATTACTGCATGGCAAATAGAAGGGGGAAAGGTGGAAGCAGTGACAGATTTCCTCTTCTTGGGCTCCAAAATCACTGCAGACAGTGAATGCAGCCATGAAATCAGAAGATGATTTCTTCTTGGCAGGAAAGCTATGACAAACCTAGACAGTGTGTTGAAAAGCAGAGACATTACTCTGCTGACAAACGTTCATATAGTCAAGGCTACGATCTTTCCAGTGATCACGAACGGTTGTGAGAGCTGGACTGTAAAGAAGGCAGAATGCTAAAGAATTGATGCCTTCAAACTGTGGTACTGGAGAAGACTCCTGAAAGTCCCTTGAACAGCATGGAGTTCAAACCAGTCAATCTTAAGAGAGATCAGTCCTGAATATTCACTGGAAGGACTGATGCTGAAGCTGAAACTCCAATATTGTGGTCATCTGACACTCACAGGTGACTCATTGGAAAAGTCCCTGATGCTGGGAAAGATTAAGGGAAGAAGGAGAAAATGGTATCAGAGGATGAGATGGCCGGACAGCATCACTGATGCAATGAATATGAACTAGGGCAAACTCCGGGAGATGGTGAGGGACAAGGAGGCCTGGCGTGCTGCAGTCCACGGGGTTGCAAAGAGTCAGACACAACAGCAAGATGAAGCTTAATGGCTCAGCTGGGAAAGAATCTGCCTGCAGTGCGGGGGACCTGGGTTTGATCCCTGGGTTGGGAAGATTCCCTGGAGAAGGGAAAGGCTGCCCACTCCAGTATTCTGGCCTGGAGAATTCCATGGACTGTATAGTCCATGGGGTGCAAAGAGTCAGACACGACTGAGCGACTTTCACTTCACTTCAGAGAGCCTAAATACCTTGCCCAGACATCAAAGCTAGTTAAATGGCACTAGGGAAACTGGGATTCCAACCCTGGCTTGTTGCCTTGCTTGATTTATGCTCTTACCTTCTATACAGTGCAACTGCTGTGTAGTCTGAACCATCGCTTACCCAGAATGTGGACGGCAGATTGGGCCATTTAGCCCTGTCTTTAAGCTCTGCAAGTAGGAAATGATAGGGGTAATTGGTTTCTTTAGCGAATTAAACTAGAAAGGAGAACAAAAAATGATGCAACCCACAGGATGGCTACTCACGGAGCTGCTCTAATTGTCCCATTCAGAATGTTAGCCATTTAAAACACATTTGCTGAGAAAATATTTTATAGTAAAATGAACAGAAATGTCCTAACGATAGTGTTCTTCAGTGGTTAATTATTCCTCTGATTGCTTTATAATTCAAGGCCAGATTCTTGGGCCTTAAACAAAAGTAAATCTCCGAGAACTAGAAAAATGAAAAGCCGGTGCATTCATATGTTCATTTCACCTGATGTTCCTTGAGGGCCCTCTATGTGTCCGACACAAAGCAAGAGTGCCAGGGGTGTAGAAATGTCTTCAATAAGAGGAAAAATAAGAAGATAACATTAAAGACAGAATATGGGAGTGTTTAAAGTTTGCCTCTGATATTGGTCACTTTGACAGCAACATTTTGAAAACATGTTTTCTCCTCTGGTTGTTTTCAACACAGAAAAATAGGGTGGGGAGCTGGTAGTGGATGGAGTCCACTATTTTGATCAGGCTCTAGACATGAAAGTTTATTTAGTGAACATTTCTTGAGCATCTGCTCTGTTCATGGCACTTTGCCAGGTGCTGGGTACTCAGTTGCCCCAGACATAGTTCTTAAGTCTTTAAAAGGTCAGTTTAGCTTTGTTGACAGACGGACGTGTAACTGAATAATTTTCAGCACAGTGAACATCTCACTATAATGTGAATGTTGGAAGGCCTGGAAGAGATTATCTAGTCCAGTCCCTTTGATTTACAAATGAAAAAATAAAGTTCAGAGAGGCTTGCCCACAGTTATATAGTTAGTGGAAGAGCCAGAAGTGGAGTCCAAGGTCTGCTGCTGCTACAGTCAAGTACTCTTTCCACCACACTGATCTGTCTCCCATAAGACCCTCCCAGGTTTTCACTCAAAAAGCTCCATTAGGATTCTGCAAAGACATCATGAACTTAAATTGAATAGCTATTTGGAGGTGCCAAACCTGCTGTGTGTTAGGTGCACGTGGGCCCGTCTGTGTGTGTGCACACACAGAGGGAGTACATTTCATGCCATTATCATTCAGAAAGAAAAGCCTTGGCTGTCAAGAGGCGCTCAGTGATGCAGTCAGTCCCTTTCTGTTTTGGCCATTAAGGGCCTGATTGCTCCCAGCTCCCAGCTGGTTATGAGAGCGTGAAGTCTGTCTTCCCCAGGGAATGCATAAACTAGAACAGAAAGCATATGTAAACTCTGCCTTGTTACTGTTTTATGATTGCCAGCTCTAAGTAATGTATACCAAACGGTGGGGGCGGGGAATCATTGCCCAGGTGTGATCCAGCTATACCCTGTATGCACCATCAAGGGGCTGGGTCATTTATGGGTGGTGAGGGGAAGTGAGAGCTGGGTGGATTGCAGAACCCTATTCCTGTTAACAAAACCACAGAATGCCCCCAAGCCTAAGCTCCTTGAAAACTAAAGCATTAATGAGATTCTGCAGCAGCACCTTCACCTTCCGCCTGTGATCAAATGTGAGACCCAGCCAGTTGGTCCTGATTGAGGTTAAGTTGTGGTGAGAGACCTCTTTGAAAATCAGCTCTTCCAGAGCTCTGTTAGGACAGCATTTCTAGGTAGATATAAGCTATGCATGAAGTCTGCCATGGGCCTACCCAATGGCTGTATGGTAAAGAATCCACCTACAATGCAGGAGCCATGAAGTCTGCCAAGCAGGGACTTTGCTCATCTACCCCAGATCATGAAGGCCATTTTGGTCTTATCTAAGTGAGTGGGGCACTGTGAATTTTTTATAATTATGGCCTATTAGCGTTTTAGTTTTCCCTAAGATATTTTTCCATTCTTCAGACTACCAAGTGAAGACATGTGAGCAAATGTTAGGATGTTGTTCCTTGCTGCACTCCTGGAGGGTGGTAAGCATGTGGTTCTCAAACTTGACTCATCACCACAATCATCTTGGGAACTCATTAAACAGATTCCTGGAGCCCCTCCCCCAGCCCTGGGGATTCTGATACCATAGGTCTGCGCCAGAGAATTTGTCACTTAAAAAGTACTCCATTTGATTCTGATACTTCCTTGGAAGCAAATCCAGCCACCTTGTTTAGAAGATAAGGCCCAGAGGTTGGAAGTGAATGACAATGGCAAAGCTGTGAGCACATCTATCAAATGGGGCTGATATATGGGAATTCATTGAAATGATAGGTTCAAAGTACCTGGCAGAGTTCGAGGCACATGGCAAGTACTAACTAAGCCACAGTGCAGTACTCTTTCTACAAGATGTTTCTAAGTGCCAAATGGATAATGAATTTTTCTTAAACTTGTTTTTAAGTGCCAGGAAGTTTCATGTTATTTTTTTAACTATTTTATGTTATTTTTTTTTGAAAGGATATTTAGTAATATCCTTAGGATGTCATTTTTTTCCATTTATTTTTATTAGTTGGAGGCTAGTTACTTTACGATATTGTAGTGGTTTTTTCATGTTACTTTAACCCAAAGAAGTGAATAAAAAATAAAAAGTGAATAAAAATAAAAATAATTGTGTGTGTATATGTGTAAGACAGAGAGAGAGAGAAAGAGAGCAGAGGTGAGAGGAAAGTAAGGAAAGAGAAAAGTTTTACTGAAAAGTATTAATGATGGGACTGTAAATAGATCCATCTTGATTCTTCAGCTACATTTGTGAACTAGGTTAAATATCATGGCCCCAAGTGAGTACTGAGTAGGTCTTTAATAGTATTCGGGCATCAT